CCCACCACAATGCCCAGCTATTTTTTGGTTGTAGTTGTCATTGTTGTTTGGCAGGCCTAGGCTGGATTTGAACCCACCAGCTCTGGTGTATGTAGCTGGTGCCTTAGCCACTTGAGCTACAGGCACCAAGCCACACTTGGCTGTTTTTTGAGACGTGGTCTTGTTCTTGCTCAGGCTGGTCTTGAACTCCTGAGCTCAGGCAGTCCACCCACCTTGGCCTCCCAAAGTGCTAGGATTACAGGCGTGAGCCACCTTGGCTGGCCATGAAGGAATCTTTAAAACATAGTTCAGCAAAATAAGACCAAGGCAAGAGGGTGCGTATTGCACAAGTCCATTTATAGATAGTGCCGCAGGAGGCAGAAGTTCTAATCTGTGACAATTGAAGTCAGGGAGGGATTGTCATCGGGCAGGTGGGGTGGTATGCCGAGAAAGGAGCCTAAGGCAACATCCTGGGGTGATGGAGTTGTTCTGAATCTTGCTTTGGATGGTGATCACGTGGGTATTTATAGTGATCAAAGGTCATTGGACTGAACATTCAAGAACTGGACATTTTATTGCATATAAAATACTCTAATTAAATACATACTCACACATACCCCTTTACTGGCTCTCAGAACAAAGGCAGAACTTATCAGGATCTACGAAGCTCCTGTATGTCTTCGCCCTACACTGACTTCTTCTCTCTAGCTTTTTCTGCAGCAGCTGGGGTGGCTTTTCTTTCAACGTATAATACATAACCAGGGATATCCTTTTCAAAGAACCTTTGCACATGCTAGTCCCTCTGCATGAACTATTCCTCTCACCCTTCTCTTTCTAGCTAACCTGGCCTCCCTTAGGAAAGATCCTCCCTAAACTCTCCAATTAGACCAAAGACCCTGTTACATAGCCTCATATTATTACTCATCTCCCCTTCATACCATAGCTGGATTATTTATATTTATTTTTTATATCAACATTCAGTTTACTCATTAGTTTGTAAATTACAGCAAGAACCATAGCTGATTCTCCACTGTATTTCCAGCGCCTGGCATAGAGCCTGGCACATAGCAGATCCCCAATAATTATTAAGCAAATAAATAAATGAATGGTTGGTTTCATTCTTTACAGGAAACGGTGATTATTATAGTAGTGGGAATGATCTGACTAACTTCACTGATCTTCCCCCTGGTGGACCAGAAGAGAAAGCCAAAAATAGTGCCATTTTACTGAGGTAAGGGGGACTGACATTTATCTGACCCCAGAGGTCTCATTCTTATTCATCAAAGTGGTAATAATTGAACACAAGTGAAATAGCTACTTCTCTGTACCAATGCAGTTAATTGTGACTTGGGACAAGCATATTTCTCCAGACTGCCTCCATCAGAAGATGGGCTTTTTTCTTTCCCTTGGACTTCTTTACCTGTTCATCCTGCTCCTCTATGTGAGATGTAACTGAAAGACGTAAACATGAGCTATTGATATAAATAGAATTCTCTTTGGATCCACATACCTCAGACTTGGCAAAATAATAAAAAATAAGTAAAATAAAATTCTCTTGTACTGAAGCAGAGGAATTTGGTAAATTCTGACCCAGCCAGAGGAACAGATGACTTCTATGAATTCTGGTGATAGCAGACATGAAGGAGCCTCGAAAAGGACAGAAGGTCATGAGGCTCTGCTCTTCCTATCACATTTATCCTTGCCAGGTCTCTAATTCCCGGGGAGCTGTAATACTGCGGCATGTGCTCGGCCTCCGGCCATAATTGTGAAGACTACAGCTTTTCTCGTAGAACATTTACTGTAGAACTAATAAGTTAGGGTAATTATTAGATTCTTTTTTTTTTTTTTGAGACAGAGCCTCAAGCTATCCCCCTGGGTAGAGTG